TAAAGGTCGTCTGCATCAATATCATCAAATTCCGGAAAGAAATATTCGGTTAACATTGAGTTGTAGCACTCGCCATTCACAGTAACAGGGTTTCCTTCGTCACTTTCAAAGAAGTTTTGGACAATTTCCAAGCGTTGGTTTAAAGTGAAACGTGACATGATAAAATGGCAAACCTTACTGAACACAAATGTCAAGAGACGTCAAAGATCCATCATCAAACATGGCCGCTATGAGCTGTCAAAACCAGGTCATCCCTATTGGTAGACCCTATATGTATTCGCGGTAAAAAGTAGCCTATATTACTCGCTGACAATGTAGCTTTATAATAATAATAATAATAAAATAAATAAATACACTAGCAACACTTACCTACATCAGTCGGAATTTCTTCACATTTTCGAATTAAAACAAGTTTTCTATACATTTACAATCCCGTACAATCATTAAAAGCTATTAAACTGTATTGAAATGGATCCTTTTTATGAAAATATAACACAAAACCGTTTTAAATAAATAATATATATAGATATATGTTGATAGTAAGACATGACGTTTAACGTCATGTCAAAATACAAAAAATATTGAAAATGAAAGAAATTAGAAATTCGACTAGAAAATGTTAACCCGAGCTAGATCCAGAGCACTGACAACATCCCCGGACTCGTCGCTCCGCTCCGTCTTGCCGTCCCCGGAAGCTACAACAGAAGTTCCGGCCGTGGCTGAGGCGTCGAGCTCAACTTCAAGCGACGAGTTTTTCTCTCCGCCGACGTCGCCAACACCTGTACGTCGGCAGGGGAGATGCCGGCCACCGACCAGCTTGGGATCCCGAGGACTACTGACCTCGAACAGGGTCCCCGCTACCGGTGGTGATGTGCGCCGCATGAAGTGGACAAAGTCTATTAATGAAAATGTCATGCGGGCATATTATCGGGCTACAGAGGTGGGAACGAACCTTACTGCGTACCGTGTTCGACTAGTCTCTTTGTTTCAGGAGCTTGAACCAGCTGTCAACGTATCAGCACAACGATTGTCGGATCAAGTACGAGCTATACAGCGCTGTCATCTGCTGGATGATGCAGTACTTGAGAGGATACGCTCTGACATACGGAATAGCTTAATTATCCCTTCTTCGTCACACACTGTGGATTCGGTAGCCAACAGCACACCTCAGTTGGCATCATATACTGATGATATTGATGAACTAGTGGAGAGTGAAGTTATATCCGTAAGTACCCAATACAATGACAGGATAAGGAGTGCTTTGGAGGATGCGATTCTGGAATACCGATATTTAAATTGCAATGATAGGCCCCGGTTATTCCGTTTGCCCATTCATAAACGAAATTTAGCGCTGGTGGGTGCCCTGGATTCGTTATTGCCTGAATATTTAGATAATAGCGAAGATCTTAGTGATACACATTCTATTCTATATTGTGCGGCTATTGCAGCTTGTCGAGTAGCTGGTGTTAAAATAGCTAACAATGTCACTACTACTCGACCTAAATCTACTGTACCAGCTTGGCAGTATAGAATTGAACGTCGTATTACTGAGACCAGGACACTCATCGGTAAGCTTATTAGCTACCGATCAGGGAATATGCGGCCGAGAGTGATGCGCTTTGTGAAACAGGCATTCTTGGGGACTACCATTAGTCCTCAGCAGTACATGTCATGTGTCACAGAGCGCATAGACTTTCTAAAGCAGAAAATTTATGCATGGGCAAATAGGATAAGACGGTATAAAAAACGAACAGATCGGTATAATCAGAATCGGATGTTCCAAAGAAATGAGAAGTGGGTGTACCGGAAATGGGAGGAACCGGATCCATGTGTGGGTGATAGGCATTTGCCAGATGAAAATGTCACAAATACATTTTGGCGTAACATCTGGTCGGTGCCTGTCACTCATATAGAAGGTGATTGGTTGCAGGATGTCAGACGCTCATGTGAGTCTATAACACCTATGGAACCTGTTAAAATTGATAAAGATGATGTAAGTTGTGCAGTTCGTTCATTACCGAATTGGAAATCACCTGGTCCAGACAGACTGCACAACTTTTGGCTTAAGTGGTTCCGAAGCTCACATGCGCGTTTGGCATCTCAATTCCAGGCAGCTTTGGATTCGGGTTCATTACCCCAATTTTTAACCACTGGCATAACCCACTTACTCTATAAGTCTGGTAGTGTCATGGATCCCAAAAATTTTCGACCTATTACATGTTTACCTACCATGTATAAACTTCTAACATCTATTCTGAGACTCAAAATTACTTTACATATTAATAATAATTCGATTATGTCAGTTTCTCAGAATGGATGTAGAAGTGGGACCCGTGGCACTAAAGACCTCCTTATCATAGACATGACCATTAGCCAACAGGTACGTTGTAATCGTAAGAGTTTGGCGACGTGTTGCATAGATTATAAGAAGGCTTATGACTCGGTTCCACACACATGGCTTTTGAAGGTGCTGGAGTTGTATAAAATTGATACAACTCTGTGCACTTTCTTGAAGTCATGTATGGGGCAATGGAGAACGGCACTTCGCTATCCAGGATGTCGGCAGACAGCGATACACGATGTACTAATAAAGATCGAGCGGGGTATATTTCAAGGTGATAGTCTGAGTCCCTTGTGGTTTTGTCTGGCTTTGAACCCTCTTAGCACTTTATTAGAGGGTTCAGGGTTAGGCTATAGGTTGCAGAAAGATGATCAAGTTATATCTCACCTTCTTTATATGGATGATTTGAAACTGTTAGCCTCCAACAAATTACAATTGACAAAGTTACTAAAGGTGACGGAAAACTTTAGTAATTCTATCAAAATGGAATTTGGTGTAGACAAGTGTGCAGTCATGTATGTAAAGAAGGGTGTGATAGTTGAATCTGAAGGAATAGAGCTTTTGGATTCAACAAAACTCAGATCTCTGTCTGCCACTGAAACTTACAAGTATCTGGGTATATCACAGTCGTTGGGAATACCAGAATCTAACATGAAACAAACATTGCAGGAACGCTTTTTTGGCCGCTTGAAAAAAGTACTTAAAAGTCTTTTATCAGGGGGCAACAAGGTGCGAGCCTGCAGTGGTTGGGTCATGCCGGTTCTAATGTATTCCTTTGGTATACTTAGATGGACTCAGACCGAATTAGATGCCCTTGACAGGAAAGTCCGCACACTGCTGACTGCATCCCGAATGCACCACCCACGTTCATCAGTTATGAGATTGTATATCCCGCGAAAGCTTGGGGGTCGCGGTCTATTAAATATCAAGACCCTACATAATCGCGAGGTATGCAATCTCAGAGAATATTTTCTACATACCGACGTGGGAGTGCATCGCAATGTAGTTGCAGTGGATACCGGCTTCACCCCGCTCGCTCTGGCTAAAGAGAATTGGCGCAGACCTGTAGTACTTGGTGTTAATGATCGCAGGGAAGTATGGAAGGGCAAAGAGCTTCATGGTCGGTTTTATCGGGCCCTAAACGGGTCCGATATAGATTTAAAAGCATCTACGACTTGGCTACGGCATGGTGATCTCTTTGGAGAAACTGAAGGTTTTGTTTGTGCGATTATGGACGAAGTTATCATGACGAATAACTATTGGAAATATATCCTGAAAGATGGTACGGTTGACATCTGTCGGGCATGCCACCGTCCTGGCGAATCAATCAGGCATATTATTTCTGGTTGTTCTCGTCTTGCTAACGGAGAATATTTGCACAGGCACAACCAAGTAGCCAGGATCGTACACCAACAGCTTGCCCTTAAATACCATCTTGTGAATCTAGAGGTGCCATACTATAGGTATGTGCCCGACCCAGTTCTCGAGAATGGTCGGGCCACGTTGTATTGGGATCGATCTATTATCACAGACAGGACTATTGTTGCCAATAAGCCTGATATTGTGTTGATAGATCGATTAGAGCGCCGCGCAATGATTGTTGATATCGCCGTTCCTCATGACGAGAATCTCGTGAAAGTTGAAAAAGAAAAACAAATTAAATATTTGGATTTATCTCACGAGATTGTCGATATGTGGAATGTTGATTCAGTGATCATTGTTCCGATAGTCGTATCTGCTCATGGATTGATAGCCAAGAGCCTCGACCAACACCTTAAGAGGCTCACGTTGGATGGCTGGATCAAGGGTCTGATGCAGAAGGCAGTCCTCCTTGACACGGCTCGTATAGTGAGGAGGTTCCTATCTTTGGAGTCCTAACCACCGGTGTCTTGGTCCCTGTACCCGATGTCGGTGGTCTACTATTTTTTATATTTTTAAATGTATTTTTTTTTATAAAGTGTATATTTAAAAATGTAAATAATATGTATATAAAGTAAATAAAGAGAATAATAATAATAATAATCATTTATTTCAGGTATAAACCCATAGGCAAAAACACAAAATCATAAAAATCATAAAATCATAAAATCCAAAAACCATAAAATCATAAAATCATAAAATCATAAAATCATAAAATCATAAAATCATAAAATCATAAAATCATAAAATCATAACATCATAAAAATCGTAAAAATCATAACATCATAAAAATCGTAAAAATCATAAAAAATACACAATTATAAAGTCGGAATACTAAAATTAGAACAAAAAATAAAATAAAATTATTATCACCAGATTCATTACAATATAAAATAAATCAAAATTAGCAACAAGTTTAAAGAATCTTAAACATTGGTTAAATGGTTTAGGCGTGAAAGCTAACGAACAAACTCTAAATTTATAATAATAAGGATGGATGTATCAGATACAAGTTATAAGATGTGCAGCCCTGGTAATATTAGTAATTTAGCTAGTTTTGTACTGGCAATACTGCAATTTGTAACAAAAATAATTTGTCAGTCAGTCACTCAGGAATACAATTTACTCTGTGGTCAGTCCAACTCTTATAGTATTGTGAATAGTGTTACATATTTATATTAAAACTAGTGTATTAATCTTGTGTGATCAGTCCGGTGAATACCGAAATACTTTACTTACAATGGATAATGATAATTTAACTAAACAGGTACGAGTTTTGTTATAATTAATGTATCACTCTCTAATCATGTTTTTATAGTGCCTAAAATACCACGTTTAAATATTTTACATGTTATAGGCAGAGGAGGTTGAAGCCCTAAGCTCCATTTATGGTAGTGACTGGATCACAGAGAGCGAAGCCTCTAGATCCTACAGCATTAAAATTGAAGAAAACAAAAATGAAATAAGATTGTATGTGACTTTGCCTGATGATTATCCAGCTCATTCACCGCCAAGGTACGAATTATCTGCTCCATGGATGAACAGGAAGGCTAAAGAAGAGCTCCATAAACAACTGGATGAAGTTTATTTGTAAGGTTTTATACTTATTACATTGTATATATGTCTTCATGGTATTTCGTGATATATTATATCTTCATGGGTACTGTATATAATAAATTTATATGAAACAGATTATTTCTTAAAAGGCTTGTTTAGAATGTGCTGTTAATCTCACAAAAAAACGCACACCATAATTATTATTTTTTCGTGATGTCTACCTGAAGTCAACTTGTATATGTCTTGTCTATTTATATGTGGTAGTGGTATGTCTGATTATCTGTAGTGAGGGATTAAGAATACGGAGTGTCACCAGCCCTCTTCATCCTGTTGGTGTCGTAAGAGTCGACTAAGGGAGCAAACTATGCAGGACAACCGCACTGCTAAAAAAAGGAAAACTCAACACAAATCCTATACGAATCCATCTGGCCAGCAATTTAAAGTAGTCCGTTCTAAGGAGAGGCCTATGTCCAGTAGTGGACTATTAAATTCTGTTGATGAAGATGATAGTCTTCATGGGTATTGTAAATATTAAATTTGAGTTAATTGTAATCGTTAATAAAAAGTAGTTAATGGTTGGTTAAACTTTGTAAACCTCTCTCTTTGTACATTTTTGTTTATTTCTTGACTAAAAGGGTTCAAAAATATAGAGCCCTATTTTGAGATTACATACATGAACATTTAACAACTACAATTTTAAAATTTTTGCTGGATGGGATAGCGAAAACAGTCTGCTCTAGTTGTAAGTACCTCGGCTCCCTCTTGCAATGTGATGGTGAGATTGATCAAACTGTACAACATCGAATCAATATGCGATGGATGAAGTGGTAGCAGGTAACGGAACAATTTGTGACCCCAGCTTACCCTTAACACTAGAGACAAATTTATAAAACTCATCAGACGTGCGGTCCTGTAGAGTTCTGAAAGTTGGAGTTGATTAAGAGATCGGATGAGACACAACTAAACGTAGCCAACATGTGAATACTGAGATGGATGTGTGGTGTGACTCGGATGGACAAGGTTAGGAATGAGTACATACAATAGAGTCTGAAAGTAGCAGCACTAGATGAAAAGTTAAGAAGTAATAGGTTATCTTGGTATGGACATGTCTGGAGGGATGAGGAAAGTGTTAGATGTGGGAGTTGACGGGTACAAGAGAAGAGGAAGACCAAAGAAAAGATGGATGGACTGTGTAAGTGAGGATATGGCTAGGAAGAGAGTAAACAGTGAGATGACAAATGTACTTAATATGCCAAACCCCAAATAAAATAGGGATAACGGTAGGCAGATGATGAATTTAAAAAATTAAATATGTAATCATTGAAATCACATAAGATGTTTGGTTGTGATGACCTCAATTATAAAACTTATATTTTCCAGGGAATGTGTTGGAGAAACAGTAATATTCCAGTGGGTCGAAAAAATAAGAGAAGTATTACAAGCTCTCAAACCAGAAAATCAGGAGCCACAGCCCAAACCAGCAGCAATTGTATCATTGGATTTAGCCCTTGTAAGTTTGCAAAATGCATTTTCATATTTTTTCATTGATTAATTTTAAAAATTTGTTGTGGCATGTGTAGCTTCACGACAAATGATCAGTAATATGTCAACAAGCCCAATATAAGTAATAAAATATGCAACATGGTTTTTGTTTGCTGATTCTACATGGCGAGTAGTGAATGTAAAATATTTCCTTTTTTTAAATAAATATTCTAAGTTATAGTATTATGCAGTTTGTAGAGGTATTAAATTTGGAATATCACAAGGCTTAGTAATCAATCAATTACTTTTAATGTGTTCTTGTATGTAAAAGCTCCGAGTGCAATGATTGTTAGTGCCTTTTTGAATGTTACATGTACATTTCAAATAACAATAATTGCCTTAAATTAGACATCAAGTAATCATAAAAGTTTTTCATTAATTACAATTTTTGTACTAAGTACTATGAGATAGCTGTTTTGTTGTGTGCCCTTGTCTGGTTTTTGTTGTATGTACATATTTTATTAACACACAACAATAATGCCGAAACTGAAATATGTGCACTTAAGTGAGTAACCAATATTCAACATTTTATTCCCATGGATATGAGCCCACAATACTCTTTGCGGCGTAGATGCGAGGCACTTTAAGCATTGCTCTGTCTGCACTGATTACACTGATAATATTATTGTTACGTTTTACAGTTGAACATTAACTGCCCCGAAATCACTCATGGACAAGTGATCGTTGACAGAAAAAGTAGTTTCCAAGGACATGCGGCTGAAGTACATTGTGCTGAGGATGTTCAGTGAGTAGACTATGACCATTTACAAAATAGGTTTTAATGGATTATGAAATGATGAAATTCATTATTAATTTACAAGTAATAAGGCCGAACTGTGTTGTGAAAGGGTGTAAATATCAAACTACAAGAAATAGATAGTAGGATGGAATCGCATTTCACACATAAGTAAGCATAGAAACCAATATTTTCAATAAAATCAAATTATGATCGCCCACGGACACATGTTTATAAAACCAGCTTCACTTGACCACACCTCTCGCTAGCCCCCTATATAATAAAAGAAAACTAAAACACATATTACTATCTTTCATTGCAGGGCCGTCCTAACAAAATTAAAACAGAATAAGAAAATTCTTAATGCGACTCATAATATATACGCTTACCGTATAGAGCGCAAAACAGCGAAGGGCACAACGATGCTGCAAGATTGTGATGATGATGGCGAGACTCACGCAGGAAGCAGGATGCTGCATCTTCTGCAGATACTGGACCAGAAGAATACACTAGTTGTTGTCTCACGGTGGTAAGCTTCAACATCATTTTAACAATATTTGTACCATCTTATTAATCAAGACAATATTAATAGAAATAATGTATCAATAAATCTGCCTGGGGCAAAAGCAAGCACACTCCTAGTGCCTAGCCACCTTAAGACTGTTCACGCGATCTTTCTTAGTGTGCTACCCTTGGAGGCAGATTTGTTTCATGCTGGATGATCCTAACGTCGTTGAGCCTTTTCGTTCCATTGATGGCAAATCCAAGACTTGGTTTGATCGATCCTGCAAAACGACGAGGTGTCTGAAATCGAAATCGAAACAACGTTGACATATCGAGCGAAGTGTAATTCTGCTAATCACTTAGAGGATAATGCCAAACTAGCCTCGAAGAAGCTTGGTGTGCTAAAAACATCAAGACAAAACCGACTGCATGGATGGCGTAGTGGTTTAAGCGGTCACCTCGCCGCTTCCCACTGCGCTGAGTGTTGTGGGTTCGAACCCCGCATGGGACGACATTTTGCGTGATCCACAAATTGTTGTTTTGAGTCTGGGTGTTTTTGTATACGTTTCATGAATGTTAGTAAAGTCGAGTTGTATTAAAAGAAAACAATAATCCACTCTGGCCCACTTGAAAAGAGAATGTATGTAAATGAACCGATTACAATGTGTTATTCTAATTAAAAATTTAGTTAAAAAACTAAAATTGACATTATTCTTAGGTATGGCGGTATCCAGCTAGGACCCGACCGGTTTCGGCACATTAACAATGCCACGAGACAAGTGATAGAACAAGCTGGCTTGTTGAAGAAATGACGATTAGCTTAAACTTTATTTTAGGTCATAGACATACATTGGGATTAAACTAGTTCCACGGATTTAATTATATAACTAGTCTAGCTTGTAGCAATGATTATCTTCTGACGCCATCTTTGTTATTATTAGACAGTTCTTAATGACGATTATGGATTCGATCGCTTTCTAAATATAGAACAATTTTGCTGTCTTCCAATTTTAAATAATTTGCTCCTGCCTTTTTACTTAACATTGTCGAATTTAAAAAAGATATAAGTAGTCTCAAAAGTGAAGCTAGTTTAATTCCAAGTCCTCTATTTTGTATAGAACTTATATTTGTACTTTGTAAAACAAAAGTAGTACCTTTGTACACGCTTTAAATGTAAAATATTGTTATGACTGAAAACGTAGAACTGATTAATTTTACTGTTTAAGTTTAGTTTATGTATGTACAGGTGTATATTGGAATTTAATGTGAACTCTTGAAGTATCTTCTAAATATACTTGAGTGAACTCAAGGGTGTATCATACTGGGAATACCTATTTTGTGGTATTTAGAAATATATATATTATATTGTCAAGAATCTAATGAATACTAAAATTAAACGAGACGAATTATGTGACTTCCATTCGTTACAGATGTACTCAATGCTAGTTAAGTGTACTTGCTCTTAATAAAAGATAATGCACAACACAACGTCGTAACTTGTTGCGATGTTGCTCTCATAAAAAATGAGTTTTTTGTTAGAATAAAAAGTTTCCTGATTGATAGTCATGTTTATTAGAGATTCACGGTATTATTCACGTGTGTTTTTCGTTGATGTCCGACTAGTTTCGTACCCAACGGGAAGCTTATTGAGCAACGTAGCATCCAGCTCCAGCAACAGTGCCAGGCGTCACACGTTAGTAAAGCCATGTATCTTTAATAAAAGTAGATTTCTACTGCTGAATCGAGTTTCAAATGTGATTTAATTAATAATATTTGATAAGTGATTTGAATTTAAATTATTATTGTGTTAGTCAATGTAGATAATCTATATAATTAAGATTGTTTACGTGAAAAAAATATTATGATAATTATTACGTATAAGTATGTAAAATATTTAAAAGAAAGCAAGCCAATGTAAAGTTTAAAACATCGGGGATAGTAACAATTTCAAAGGCAAGTGAAGCATTCAGACCAACATATAACTATGTGCAATAGTGTGACTAGTCTTTCGTTATGTTAAGGAAATATTAACGAGTTCCTGTTATTTTTGCGAATAGGGTTGAGGCATAGGGAGATGGCACTTGCATTACAGTCAAATTATTTTAAAAGGTGCATTTTGACAGTCGTAGTTTAGGGTTAACAAATCGATAGAGAAATAAAGAATTAATTGATGATCGAAATATATTTAATCTTTTTAAAAATAGTTAACAACAAATGGAATGACAAAGCGTTACTATTTTACTAGGTCTCGCAGAAATAAAGAATCAAGCATAGCTTCAAAAACCTACCTGTAATTTAAACTGAAATATATTTTAGGTACATTCCTTCAACTCAAATATTTTCATTTTTTTAATGGTTTAGACTTATTTTATGTTTGGTTCAAATCGTGCAAAGTTACGTTCTGTAACAAGCTCATCTGTCAAAATGTACCTCAAAATGAATTTGACTGTAAGGTTAAACTACGAATAGTGGCTCAATAAAAAATATTCAAATGTTACATCTTGTCTCCCCAGCAATTAAATAATGACTTGTAATCATTTTTCTGACATTTACTCATTTTAAATAAAAACAAAGTGTATAAAGTATAAATATGATTTAATTTGTGCTATTTTATGTTCCTAGCGTCATTGTATGCAATTTTAACTGTATAGTTGTCCAGACTTGTAACAGAAATTTTTTTGTTAGGCTAAAATTAAAGTTTTTTTTTAACTTTTGTTTTAATTATAAAAAGCAAGTTTTCAGCACCTCGTAAAACAATACATACCATTCATAAAAAACGACGCTATTTCAAGCTTACAGTAATGCGAGCATGGCCTTCGTGCCGTTTTTAATGTCCTCGAAGGACTTGTTTTATAGACCGTGTAGTGACGGATTTAGAATTCGGAGGGTCACCACCCTTTTCACTCGTTTCAAGCATTCAACTCGTGGGTGTCGATTGATAGCTCTACCAGTGAGTAAGTAATTATTATTTAATTGAAGACATATTTCTTTTAAAATTTGTGACCCTAATTTAAGGTTATGTTCAACGCTGACAGACTCTGAGGCTTGACGTCTCTTAAAGTCTAATAAACACTATTCGAAATAATACTTTTATTTTGTTAATCTTCAAAGGTAAAAGTGCGCACACTTGACTCGAATGACTACTGGATGAAATACTAGTACTATCGCGCCATCGCACCAACATTAGTGTAGAAAGTTGGAAACACGGCATCAATACAAAAACAAACAATAATAAAAATGAAGTGTATCCTTTACAGATAATACTGCTCATTTTACATCAAGAGTCATCAACACTGCCTCACTCAATTGTGATTGTTTAGAAAGATTTAAAAAGGTCACTTCACAGAAAAATTACTAGTAGTACTTACTTACCCCAAACACATAAATCGAAATTGATCAAACTTTGTTTTCCCTCTACTACCTACTGGCTAGTTCTCAAACAATTTTGTTTTTATTGTCCACTGAAGAATATTTCTTTTTTTAAACATGTTTACCTATGTAATAATCTTTTTTTGCATGTGATAAAATATTTTCGATTTTGCCTCCCTTTTTCATCCATTCCTTCATCTTCCCTTTTATGCAAAGAATCCTTTTCACCAAGACTTCTACAACCGTTTTACAATTATCTAGTGGCACTGTGGCCACAAGTCCATTTACACCAAATAAACAAGCGACCATTTGCTTCAAAGTGCTTTTTGAACGAATGACTATTGTAGGGTTCGGCTCATCTTGGAACACCGCGGTCCCAAGATTTATCACCTGTGTTTAATTATAGACGGCTTTTGACGATTGTACTTTGTTGATGATGATTAAAATATTAATTAAAAAAAGAAACCCTATTAATTTGCTCGGAATTATACTCGTCGTACTTAAGTATGAGAAAACGAATCAGGAGCAGTGACAATATCGGTGAGCCAATCACTGGCTAACGTTATGATTTAATTGCCCCACACCCACCGTCCTACTTCATACCTCCAAAGGGATCCAAAAATCGACTTCGCTCAGGTCACCGGTACCTATACCACTCGAGAAAATACATACTTTTGAAGAGTGCAACAGGTCTTGTAACATCGCAACAAGTTACGACGTTGTGTTATATAGCGTACTCTTTTACTAAGGGAAGTTACACTCAACAAGGCGTTTATCATGATTCATAGCTACTGTTTGATGTGCATATGTCAGTTAGCTATTTTGACGGATGCGATTTTCACGAATTCAACCGATTGCGAATTTGACCATACGCGACAAAACGGATTTAGTGATTTATTGTTATAAGGCCCAAATAATAATCAATAAACATACTTTTGTATGTTTTAATTTAATATCACACATTACTCGACTATAATGTTAACCTATTAACTGTGTCATTATAAAATTATTCAAATGTTATAGGTATCTCGGTTTACACCGCCTTAGTAAATTGAGTTGTAATGATTTTTCTAACATTAATTCGTTTTAGACAAAAACAAAATATATGAATGCATATTATACTTTATTTCAATATTTACAATACCGTAATTCAATTCCTGCTATATTTTATTCCTAGCGTTGTTGTCTGCAGTTTTAACCGTTATGCATTTCTTGTCTAAGAATCTTAATAGGTCCTGTAACAAAGGAAATTTTGGTGTTCAGTGTGACAAAACATCTGAAATATCTGGCGTTTGGTTAGGAAATCAAATTTAAATTTAGGCTTATGTATATGTGTTTCGTATTTAGTGATTCATTTGATTTTTCGTTGACATCGTTTTGTTCACAAAATAGAAAACTAAAAATAATTAAAAGAACCAGGATTAAACAAATTTACATTGCACTATATCGCGTTAAGAAAATGGTGACGCAGCAATTAAGCACCGTTTCCTGACCAATCAGATTCCAAGCTTTTGTACGAAACAATAATTTCTTGGCACCTGACTGGTAAGGGTGTTGGACTTAGTGCAAACTCCAGGAATAAGTAATTCCGAGCAGAATCTTAAAACCAGTTAAAATCAAAAGCTACAGTTTTGCCATACCATGGCATATTCAAAATATTTTAAACATGAGGAGACGATAGTCATACCACATGCATCATCTCTGATTGTTTTTTTTTTTATGATAGTTCCTAATCATAGTGGTAAGAGATATAGGTCTAATGGGCAAGGCTTGGTTGGCAAGGTTGTCCTTAAATCATGTCCGACCAAATCTCTCGAAATAGCTTATATCTAGATGAGTTTTTAAACTTACCTTCGGATCATATCGATGGCCATATGAGACTAAGTCCTTATGTATAATGTCAATGTTAACCGGCTCATATTTCAGAATAGCTTCTCTGAGACTTCGTCGACTTGATACGTAGTTGTGGAAAGCTATGTGTAATGGTACTCGACATGAGTGGACCTGCAACGTATATTAATAATAATAATGACTTGACCCATCTCATACTTAAATATTTTTAAATACATACATCATACATAAATGAATTACACTCAGACACTTTTGCTAGTCCCAGGTTTATTTGAAAGTATACCTACCGCTGAGATTTTGGTATTTTAAAACTAAAGAGGACGAGTAAAACGAATGCCGCAGCCATTTCTATTCTAGTTCTCTCAGATCATTCAACTCGTCCTTGACAATACTCGTTTCAAAAATAAACCGTCACAAAAAATAGAGCCCTCTATTTAATCAGTTTTTGAGATAGAAGCAAGTTACTTTTTACTTAAGTTACTCTACAGAAGTGGTTCAGCCCCATCAACACTCTTAACGCATCATTGTATTAAACAGAAAGAATGTTGTACGATCCTTGTGTATCATCCTTTTTGATCGTGGAGTATAAGAATCAGCGTGACTATCGAGTAGAAGTGAAATAAACTCACGATGACAAAAAAAATATTTAAATAAGGCTCAAAATTATGACATAGTTTGAGATTTTTGTGAAAAAAAAGGGGCCAACTATTTAAAAAAAAAATGCGCAGTTAATGCAGTTTTTTTTTTTGATCAAATTTCATGTTAAAAATTTAAGTTGATATTTTTTTCCAAAAAAGTACAGTTACTCATACTATTTACTGCATTTCTAATAAGATTGTCTGTGAGGAATAAGATAACGCCAAAAACGCAACAAATTTCCATTCTTTCTGGGACACCCTGTATAACCAAGATATTTAAACACTAATAACTTAATATACAACCAGGGCTTATGAAGAAACAACTCACCTTAGCTTTCTCTCTTTTCTGAAACACCCAATCCTCAGGATCACAATGTACACACTTAATATTTGGCAAGTCACTTGTTATTTCATAAGTATTTACGTTTGCTTGACTGCAGTTCTGTTTCTTCCTCGGAGAATTCATATTTTCATTATCTTCTATGATATTCCTAGGAGATTTTGAACTACGCATTGTGACTTGCTTTCGTGGAGACTTTGCATTTGGATTACCACTTTCAAGCTTTCTAGGTGACTGTAGCGGTAGTGTTGTTGGTGTGACTTCCAGAGGAATAGATGAATCTTGTCTGCGCTTTTTAGGAGGAGATTGTTGTTCGTCATCTAAATAAGTTTCAATTACCGGATGTGTTTGATTATATAAGTGAGTGAGGATTTGTATTGCTGAAAAAAATATATAGGTACTTCAAAACTGATTCTGATAAAATAAAAGTGAAAAGATTTTTTGTTGGATAGTTAGTTTAAAATCTCTAATATCTAGTCAGTCACAGTAGTCAGTAAGAACTGCCAGTCAGATTTAAATCTTCTTTTATTGGGTTTTTACTGAGGCTTGAGGTCTTTTGGCAGAGTGACACTGTTACCCTAGGAAGAAGAATTGACGATAAACGCAAGTGAAACTGTGGATAAATCCTAGTATATTAGTTTACTGGCTTGTTGGTGTAATTGTAAGTAATAATGATTGATGAGCCAGAAGTCGATGGTTCGATTCCCACTAAGGACAAATATTTGTGTGATGACTAATGAGCATGATCATTTTTTATTCTGTGGCTGTAACTTATCTATAACATGTATGTAATTAGATGTGGTAAGTTATTATTGGGTATTGAATTAACTTAAACAGCCAACAAACAAATACCCTACTTTAAACTTTATTATTCACTAGCTGGTACCCGCGACTTCGTTCCCGTGGAATTCGAAAAGCGCTGCCTTAGTGGTGTAGTACGATACGCGACAGTCAATGAGGACTCGGGTTCGATTCCAGACTGGGCAAAATTTTATAGGCTTTTCCTGAGAGGAAAAGTTACTCCTTTTAGACACATTTTATTCATAGGTATCGTGCAAATAACTGTGTCAGCATGAATAAAACGTATTATTTTGACATTACAAACAGACATTAAAATTTTATTTATTTTGTATAAACTTGACCATTTCTAGTATAGTAGTATATAAAGTTATGTGAGTTACCTCTTTTCCTTTTAAAAGGTTTTAATCCATATTTATCTAGCTCCTTATTCCGTTGAGGTGTTGTTAATAATGCATAATCTAACATTGGTGTAACATTATTTGTTTTGATTACATATTCACTGTTTTTAGGCGTCACTACCGGAACTCTGTCACTACTGTGATTTGTATTATGTTCTTTGTTTGACGAACTACAAGCATCAATCTCATCCTTTTCTTCTATGATTTTCCCATTTCTTATGTTCACTTCGGGTAAAAAACTTTCTTCTAAAGTACAGCTCTTACTAGCTGAATAGGATAAAGAATTTTTTAAATTTTCATTTTTATTGTTGTCATTCATAACTGATATACCTTCGAAATCATAGTCAAAATTTGCTATTGGAAGGTCAAGTCTTGACTTATAAAGAGAATAGTCAAGTTCTTTATCAGTTAAGTCAAACACTTCAGAAGTTTGACTGGCATTTGATGTTAAATCATTGTTACTATCAACAATTTCTACATTATTATCAGTTTGTGGTAGTACATTTGAACTATCTTGATCTAAATTTAAGGAGTTTTCTTTACGACTGCTTTCATCACCTTCATCTTCACAGATTTCATCATAATCTATTGAAATATCATCTTTTTTTCCAAGACTGCTATTGTTAGGAATATTTTTAACAGTGATTGGTTTTGGAGAATCATTACTTTCTGTAGAACTATCTGATGTTTGTGTTAAATCTATGTCTAAATTTTCTTTGCTTAGATTATTACCACTATTATTTTCATTGCCATGTACAACACTGGTATTATTTTCATGGCTGTCTGAGTGATCATGTATAAAGTCTTCATAGAAACTTTGACTATTTAGTTCTGAGATTTTTTCCTTGCTAAAATGATCATTTGCTTCTGTAAATTCCTCTCCTGCTTGAGTCAAGTCAAATATCTGATCATCTTCTGTGACTACTAATTTTTTTACATTATCATTAGCACTTAAATATTCAACTTCTTTTAAAATTATTGTATCATCTAAGTTTATCTGACACTTTTGTGTATTACCTAGATTGATCTCAGGTAAATCACCACTCTCAACACTAGATTTCGATGACTGAGTTAGATACATAGATTCAATTTTTTCATTTGATACATCTTTCTCTTGTATGATTGTTGTTTTATTGTTATGTTCCAATATATTATTTTCATTTTCATTAGAACTTTGTGTTAGATCAATATTATCACTTGGATTGTCAACATGGAGTTCACCTATTGTGCCAATTTTGTTGTTAGCAATAGAAGAATTTGTAATAAAGTCTATACACTCTATAGAAATTTTGTCAACAATTGACTTATTGTCTTCTTCAGTATCACTTACTGTGTGATCAGCTATGTCTAAATTTCTTTGACTGAAACTGTACTCTGGACTTTCTGCAATATAATTTAAAGCATAACAATTCTTTTCTATTATAGACTTTTCATCAGGACTTTGTGTCAAATCTATTTCGTTCACATTTCCTTTTATACCCTGTGATGCACTTATAGCACATTCAGTCATCTCCATATAATCATCATGAATAATTTTAGTTGCATTTATAGACAAAGACTTTGGAAAAGCAGAGGCTTTTTCAAAGTGGATATTAGCACATTCAGTCAAATCCATACTATTGCCTTCTTCTGTAAAGACTTCAGTTTTCTGCCCTTGTGATGAAACTTGTTTAGTTGACTCCATTATGCAAGACACTTCATCATCAAATATATCTGGAGAACAACTTCTATACTGCTCTCGATCTGTAAGAGTACTATTAGATGCTATAACTATAACATTTTCACATTTTAGTATTTCTGTAGCAGGTGATATTGATATGTTTTCATTTAAATGAACCTCTTTATCAACATCAAATGTAATATGATCAAATTTATCATCCTTATTACGAATTTCTATAATTTCCTTGTTTCCTTCACTTTCTAGTTCAACTTTAGTTATAGTACAATCTATATCCATTGCTTTATCTAATGTTTTAGTTTCAATAATTCTATGTGCACTTTTTATAGATCCACTTAGTATAACATCTAGCTCATCCTGTGAGCACACTATTTCACTAAAATCCATTGTACTTTTTTTTAAAAGCTGAGGACTTATAGGTCTGCCAGGTATTTCAGCCCAATTTCTTAATAAAGAGCCAATTTTTGTAGATCTTTCTATTATATTAGCTAAACTATTAACATAAAAAATGTTATTATTTTTCATAAATTCATACTCTAAATTAGTAGCTAAACTATAAATTGGCGTACAGGATTGATAAGATGATCCCACACTTAATTCATAGTCCAATGTTTGAAATAATATTTGAGAATATTTGTTTCTTATTTTCTGATGTTTTACTTCTTCAGTTATATTGAGAAGTTTATACTGCTTTCTATGCTTTTTAATCTTACGATTGATAGTGATTTTTGTATCTGGCACTTTAAAACCATATTCTTGTAAAGTGGTTTTTATTTTTGCTATTCTTCCTTGAGTTGTTAATTGTTGCAAAGTTGAAACATCATCAGTGACCTCAGTTTGAAGTGATTTTGACAAAGCTATAGCAACCTGTAGATGTTCAGAATCCACATCAATGCCAGACTTTTTACAAACATTTTCAAACTCTTTAGTATATGATAATAATTCATTTTTCTTGCCTTTTAGAGCTGTTCGTATATCTTTTTGGCCTTTAATGCGCTTTGTGACTTTTCTAGATTTTGTTTTAACTACTTTTTGTGCAGTTTTAGGACCTTTACAACTATGTTTAGTCTCCTGAAAGTCAGAGAGACTTTCATCCATAGCAGTCTTGCTGATAAAGTATTTACTCCTAACGCATTGTCTGAAATGTAGAAAAAATAAAACAAATTATAAATGGAACTTTTTTATTAACTACATAATTTAAAGATAACAATTACCTAGTGTCTATACTCATAACATTATTTATTTGGCAAATCTGGTCTTTCACTTTCTTCAATAAGTTTCCTAATTGTCTCACCCGATCTATTGGGTAGCCCACTGGCAATCATTTGTCTTCTTTCAACTTCTTCTATAGGATCTTCATACAATCCATAAACGGATTTGCGTAAATTTTCCGTAATTGAAGTAAAACTTAAAAGATAAAAAAACATTAATCTATGGCTAAAAAGTTTAGAAATAATAGTTGGTAACAAATTACTTACATAAGTAAGTAATTTATTACTGTTTAATTTTTTTAATGGAAGTCATTATTTAAACATTAAAAAAAGATTACACAATGTGTTTTACCTGTCTCAGTAGTCATTATTCAAAGTTATGTTTATATTATTTGTCTATTGTTTGGAATCATTAATATTTCATTACACTAGCTATAGTTAAAACTTTAATGGATCAATATTGATGCATGTATGTAAAATATTAAGAATATATTAAATAACATTTTGCATCTTCCCTTCTTTATGACTTTACAATAAGGTCAATACTATCATACAGAAATAATTATTATTATTACAGTTTTGTATTTTCTTTTACTTTTTTCTGTTTTTTGATGTAGTCCCAAAAGTCACTAATTTATTTCTATATATTGAAATTTCCATTGAACTAACTATAGTAAATAATAAATGTATTGTTATGCAGTATTGTTTAAAAATGTCCAAATTGAATATTAGTCATGAAAGAGTACCACAATTCTAAAAAATAATAATTCTGTCTACGATTTAAGAACGCCAAGGCATTTGGCATAAGTTTATTATGAATATATAATAAAAATGAATAGCTGTTCGTTAGTTTTACTAATGGCTCGGGAATTGCTTTACCGATTTGGCTAATTTTGGTCTTGAAACATTTGTGGAAGTCCAGAGAAAGTATAGTTGATGAGAAAATGTATTAAAAGCTAAAGAAAACAGTTAAAACAACAATTTTATTTTCCCATACAAAATGTTGCAAAAACAGGGCAAATTAATTGTTTTCAAGATACGCAGACTAAGTTGCGCGAGTCGCTAGTTATGATAAAATATGTCTATATAATATGTATGATAAATGGTTTTCAAAACTCTTTTTATATATCATAATATCGTTTAATGCATCGTAAGTCTTCGTCTAGTGAATCTTAACCTCAAAACTTGTTACACACACACAGTCATCTATGTAAAACACACTTACTGAAAAAATACTCCACATGCTAATCCAATACTTAGCGCACCAGCTCCTAAAAAGTTTCGGAATGTTGCAGCTGGAGTTCCTTTTATTTTTCTAGGTTTCCATTTTGATGTATCAACCCCAACGGCCATTTTTAATTTCTGGTCCTATTCAAATTCTTCATGACAATTATTCATGATTCACAAAACATTAGGAAATTCAAAACTTACGTTGTTACTAGTTCACCTCTTTTAATTGGATTAGCAAGGATTAGCAACAAAACCTAATTAAAAATGATATATTAGTAAAATTTGAGTTTAACGTGAGCAAAAACACAGTTCTGTTTAGTTGTCTTTCTAGTTTGAAAAGGAACGTAATCGTAAACAACCTATATAAGATCACGGTACTATTATAATACAGTACTCCAACTTCATACAAACGGACGAAATGCGAGCTATACCTACGCGCCTCGATCTCGGGGTGCGCTCGGGGCGCAGACAGTCACGGCTGTACCGCAGTGTCGAACGGACTGTGTGTTGTTTTTTTAACAATAACTAATATATAAACTAATAACTAAATGTGTTGATTTTTTCTCTAAAAATCAGTTAATATGACGAGTAGGAAATATTGTGCAGTTTTTGGTTGTATGAATTCGTCAATAACGCATCCAGACATAAGTTTTTTTAAATTACCTGGAAACTCTGAAAGGTAAGACTATAAAATAATTTTACTTACTAAGTAGGTAGGTACATAATGTGTGTCTTTTTAATGGATAAGTATTTCTTTTTATCTCACGAAAAAAAAGGTGTTTGGATGAATAAATAAAGCAAATAGAGTAACGGAAAGTTATTGAGACGAGTGAAATAGGGAGTTATATGCGGTTCTGAATGAATCATGATACGGTAGGTACCTACCTACTTACGCTTGTGTTAAAACTTCGGTGCATGTGTGTTTTGTTACTTTGCATAATTCAAAGTAAAGACGTGGTATTTTATTATTAATAATATTTGTTTATTATCTGTGTGTATGAATAATACTAAAAAAAAAAAATTACCGTCTGTGTGTCATTAGACAGTTTTCGAAATTTTCACAAAGTGTTTCTGCTGCTACTATAACAACATATACCACTAAAAACTGGTTTTATTTTCTCGGTATTTACAACAACAGCTAGACTCATATATAATATTTAGATGTTTGAGGGTTGTGATTTTAAAACATTCGTAGTCAGCTGTTTAGCTTTTTAATAATTAATTAATTGGTGACCAAAGAATTTTTGTTTTGAGTTGTTGCGAGTTGTAGGTAGGTACCTAATTTATAGAGACGTTAATAAGCTGAGATAAAAAGTTACTTACTCGTCAGCTGTTTCTTGCATTCTAGTTGAGTAGGTAGGTGTTGGAGTTTCTAAGGATTGGAGTTTTGTAAAGCGTAAGGAGAAATCACATTTATTTTATTTTATAGAAGGATTTTTTTCATGTTTTTTTAATTAAATCTACCAATCAAAAAACAACACGCATTTTTATTGAACACTTCCTATTCAATATACAAAGTATTTGTTTTATTTATATAAAAAGGATATTTACAATCACAAATCTAAATAGAAACAGAAAATAGGCAAATATAATTAAAATGCTGGAGACGGGCAGCCCTAACGCATGTTTACGTACCGCGCGGCTGTAGGCATTTATTTCTATCATGCGGCCGAGTTACACTACTGTATTATAATTGTACCGTGATAAGATCGCATCAAACTTCAATTAAGTTTGTTTTCGATAAGGAAACTGTCAACAGTGTCAATGGTGTCATAGATGTGTCATAGATCAGCTGTCTTTCCAGCTGATTTAATTGTTGTTTATTTATGTAAATCTTTTTTGAATAATATCGAACGTTGGGACTGGTATTTGACAAAATTAATTAAATTTGAGACTGCATTAGCAACAAACTACTATTAACGGCTATTACGCAGATAATATTGCTTAAGATGTCTTTGCTTCAGAATTTAACTTATAAAGATTATCAAAAAGCTTTAGAAATGAGCCTACGACAGTGTGATATAATCGCAAAACTAGCTGATTTAAAGTACGTGACCAACAATTTTGTTTAATAATTTAGTGTTAAAAATTTAGTTAAAAACTTATTTGTATTCCAGAATATCATTTTCGGACGCAAAAAAGCCAGGAGAGCAGCTTATAAAGTTAATGGACCGGTCTGGTTTCTCTGTAGAAGAGTATAAGAAATACGTTGTCACATCATTAAATGTAAAAACTATCACTACATACTACAGACCACAGTCAAAAGTAGCCATATTAGTTGCTAATGATAAATATTTATATTTATCTAAGTTGATTACTCCGTCTATAGACTGTGAGTCATTAGCAGAGCACTTACAAAATTTAGGATTTATTGTTATACTTATAAAAAATACTACAAGTGCAAAATTGACTAGTATTTTAACAAACATTTTTGATGTTTTAGAGGAAAATTCTTATTGTAAGTATATTTAACTTATAAACTTGTTCAGTCTAAAGTAAAAATAATATTGTCTAAATAATGGACATGGATATCCCATCATTTCAATTTAATAAGGATTATTGGTTTTGATAATGTACATGTACTTCTTTTTTTAATTTAATTAGATTAACATATATTTTATTCTGTTTTAAGGCTATTTAAAACACATGGATAATAGTTTGAAAAGTAATTTAAAAATGTTTTTTTTATTACTGACTTACTGAAGTGGATAGTCATTAAACGCTTAGTAGTAGAGTAACAGTATAATATATTTAAAATACTTCTTCTAAACAGTTTAACCTCATGTAACTTAGGATAAGTTAACTTTACAATATTTAAAAATATAAATATCCAATTCAATATCTTTATATCACATAATGTTTCAAGATTTATTTGATTGTCCTTTATAAATAACAATTATAGGCACTGTTATTGCAGCAATAGGTATGTTATGTCCAGCAGTGGACTAGTAAAAGCTGTTGATGAGGTTGGTTTCATCATCATCAATAGTCCACCTTTAATAGTCCACTGCTGGACATAGGCCTCTCCTTAGAAAGGGGGTTTTGGCCTACTATACCACGCTGGCCAGACGGGTTGGTATAGGGTTTGTGTCAAGTTTTCCTTCTCTCTGCAGTGCTGTTGTTCTGCGTAGCTTTCTCCCTCAGTTGGCTCTTATGAGGTTGGTTTGACAAAAGTAAAATCAAGTCTATAAGCATAGTAAGAAGAAATCAGTAAACAAATTCACGACTGCTTCTTTAATTCACAAAGTTTTAGTAGTATATACTGGGAAAACTGTAAAAAAAATACAAAAGGAATAAAAGGAAAACTTAAAAGATGGCAACTGAAATCACAATCAATAATCAACACATGATTTATTGTTTATTTCAGGCTTCTTCTTCTTTGCTGGACATGGTTGCCAGCTATGTAACACAAAATGCATGCTAGGCATTGATGCTCCAACAGAAAACATTAAATTAGAACACTGTGTCACTGAAAACTTCATCTTGAAAGAGCTGGAAAGAACCAAACAAGATCTTTGTATACTTATTATGGACATGTGTAGGATATATTTGGACAGGTAATGTAAAATATTCATTCTTATTCATGAAAAATAATAATTCTCTCCAGCTAAAGAGCAGACAGGCCACCTGATGGTAAGTAGTTAATACTACAATGTCTTCCTAGGCTTCCAAAGGAATTTGACTGTAGTTTCGTATCTTTTATATAGGTAGGTACTATCAGGATCATATTAAAATCAATAAGAATTCAAATATTTAATATGTATTTTAGGAAATCAAATCCTCAAATATATTCTTCGATTAACACTATAGATGAATACTCGATACACAAGAATCTTTTAATCGCCTATTCGACGCAAACATCTCAGGGTGCTTACGAAGTCTTACAAATTGAATGTTCTAAAACAATTGCCTCTGATGTCACATATGAGTTACAAACTGGTGATACTGATAAGATTGTCCCTGGAGCAAGTCAGTATGTAAACGTCTTGTGTACCAGGATAACAGAAGATTTGGATATTAGCAAGATGTTGGATAAAGTTCATGAAGGTTGGTATTTTTTTTTTTAAATGGATTCTATCCATTTCAAAACCTACTTAGATTTTAAAAAGGCGTTGCAGAATTTTCTTTTAAATATTTTTGTATTTTTTCGTTTCTAGGTCTCGTAAAATATTATGTTAAATTTAAATACAATAATTTCGTACAAGCCTCGACGAATTGCGTTTGCTTAATAAATATACCTACATTATTTCAAATTATGTCACTACACGCAAAGAACGTTTTTTATTATTATCGGGAGAGAATTGATATTAATCTTGATTACATTACTTATTACAGATATAGAAAACGCGTTAAAAAAGCAAAGACCCATAAAAGTGCAATGCGGTGTTGAAAAAAGGTCTCTATACGATCCTAGTACAGGTAAGTACTTGTCATTTTGCTTTTATAAAATTAAAATAAAATAATAGTACTTTTACATTTAAATCCTGTGGCGAAGAATTAATAATAGAGTGTCATAACCCTATTCATCCCGTGAGTGTCGTAAGAGCCGACTAAGAAAACATCAAAGTCTATAAACGGTTGCAATGCCTACTTTTATTCTTTTCTTTATGGTATACAAGCCAAAAGGGCAGGCGGGTCACCTTAATAGTAAGTGACTACAACTGCGTTACTGCCTTTGAGCCCTTCCAAAAATTTAGACGGGTTGTCCTATATAACTCTGATTTCCTATGTTCTAAATTTGGAAGTTTTATTAAAAAATCCGTTTACAGGTGATACAGCTACCCTACTGAAATCGCTGCTCGAGACAACGAAGGATTACAGTGAAAACTGTTGTATTTTGAGTAAATATAATTCTTAAAATAAGCTGGTGTAATACTATTCACAATAGACTACTATTGGTAGTTAATGGTGCTAATAAGGAATTTTATCATAATTTATAAATAATTTAATTAATGAATAAGTTACTTAATAAATAATTTAATTAATGAATAATGTAATTAAAACATGCTTAAACCCTACGAAATCATATCCTCGTCAGAGTTCAGGGTCAACTGGTTAATCGGACTGGAATCGACTAAAATACTACACGGTGTTCCGTCACAAATCAGTCTATTACAAAGGATCTGGCATACCGAGAGCAAACATGGGGTACAAATAATGTAACAGTTTATACATTTTTAAATTTTACATATACGGCTTTTAGAACGCGGATAAAGAAATCATTATTTTTTGTTTAAATATCACATGAAACATGATGATAATACAAAGAATCACACAAGTTATTTGAAATAGAGGTTTTTTTCTCATTAATGAACTAGATATCTCCGATCAGTTCGATCCCTTGGCATTACGTAGAGATGTGGCTTCACTATGCATTATCTATCGCATATATCATGGAGAGTGCTCCGAGGAATTGTTCGGACTAATACCAGCCGTAAATTTCCGCCATCGTTCTACACGGCAAAATGTTCATCCTCATTACCTGGATAGTTGACGCTCCACTACTGTGCGCTTTTCAAGACACTTTTTGCCCCGCACAACCAATCTGACGAACGGATTATCGTCTGCGGTATTTCCGGACCGATACAACCTTCAAAACTTCAGGAAAAGAGCGTACTCCCTTCCTAAAAGGCCGGCAACGCGTTTGTGACTCCTGAGTTGCAGACGTTCATGGGAGACAATAGTCACTTTCCATCAGGTGACCCGTCTGCTCGTCTGCCCCGTCTAATATAAAAAAAAAGAACTTGCTACCCTGATGAGGAATTCAAAGTATATATTGTATAATACAATTGGTTGTGAAGAGTTCAATCATGTTTGATTATGAAACTCTTCTGCACACACAGCAAACGAAATACCCAGTCAGTCAGTCAGTTGTATGTCGAACGTTTGGGAAAAAAGGGTCACTTTTGCATGTTTACCAACTTTACAGGAAGAGCATAATTAAAGATTATTCACTATTTTTTAAATAACTCTGTACCATTGTAGAGTATTTAGATTCTTAGTCTTACATTGAATAATTCGTTACATATTTTTTTTCTAATTATTATTGTTTTCTTCCCTTTCCTTCTGCATTATTAAGTTTCAATTTCGCCACTAATAGTGAATTAAAATACTACTACTGTAGGTACTACTGACCAAGTATTTCGCTTGGGGTGTGTATACTACCTTGATTACATGTGACTTCGTTTTGTACTTTTATAATAAAAAGAAACAACAATTTAACTGCATTTATTATTCTTGACTGAAACATTAACCATAAATATTAACACGAACACTCTACTGCAACTTCTTCAATGTATGGGGCTGGAAGTGGTTAACTATGTTGACCCACCAACTGCCTTCAACGCCTTTAGTAAACTCTCTGATGAATCTATAATTCAGTATAAATATCTTGTCTTGATACTCTGGCTGTACACTGTAAGTGAAAATTTTTTTTTTAACTAACCCGATTGGCAAGTATGATCATGTTTTGTTAAGTTTGGTGTAAATGGGAATTTAAATAGCTGAGACTTTAAGTAGCTTCTAAGAAAAATAAATGCTTCTTAGGGTTCCCTATTAAAAGCACTGAATGGATGTAATATGTATTAATCATGCTGAATTTAGAACGAAAAGTATCACAAATAAGTTGGCTCTATTAGTTTAGAGTAAACCTCAAAGAAAAATTTTTTTTTTGCAAAAAAAAACTTGAAGTATTTCTTTTTTAAAACAGGTAGTAATAAACTATAGAACCATACAATGTTGTTGACGATAAACATACCTTACTAATGATATGAATACTTTTGCCAACTTTTCCAACTTACCCAAATGATTCTGTTAGAGGATTGACCTTTATACTCTGCGGTAAGTCTTGAAAAGTGACTATTCAAACCTTGCCAATTGTTGTTATGTAAGTACAGTTAGTGGAACACTATCATTTATGGAACTCAAATTTATCATTCTTATAGGATATTATGTTTTCCCGAACTTATAATCAGTATGAAAAATAAGTCAGTTTCTAAATGACAGATATGTAATGATAATAATAATGGTATAGTAGGCCAAAACCTCCTTTCTCAGGAGAGGCTTATGTTCAGCAGTGGACTATTAAAGGCTGTTGATGATGAATAATAATGATAACCTATACACTATATCAATAAAGGTGTATTACTCACCCTAACGATATAGGAGGTAGATCACCAGTCTCTTTCATATGTTTAAGTCCCCTCAACACATGGTAGCACATTGTTATTTCTACCCACCTCTTGTCTGAATCATCAAACATTATCCCAACCTAGAACAAAACAGTAAAAAGTTAAATATATATATTATGTTAACTAACGCTTCAATGTAGAAATTACTAGTATGGAGTAATTAATTATACTATTATTATGACACTACAGGACATTTTTTTCTTCTTTTATATAACCACTCCGATCCTGCTAGCTGCTGCTATCCAGGACGGACATATGGCTCGACTGCCTTCGGGCCCTCACATTATAAATCTCTAATATCTTCTAACATATTCATTTTAATGAGATACTGTAAAAAGCAATTTTGATCTACATTAAATGTACATGTATCTAACGTATTTAATTGGATAAGAAACAATAATGTATTTTTTAACAATAATGTATTTAATAACCTATTTTTTTTATATTTTAGAGATAAAAATGGTTACTGTGGGTTAGCTTTAGGAGATAGACATCCATCATATCGTGGAATTTCTTGTAGATCTTTTTAGGATAAACAATTCATTATTTTAGGCTATCTCCAAAGGTCTAGCCAGCATTTGCAATGTAAGTGCACAAAAACATGTTTTTTATGATAAATCTTTCAAATTCTCAGATTATTTCTACTAGAATATGCATGTATTATACCTATAAACCTTCCTCTTGAATCACTCTCACTATTGATGAAAACCGCATTGCAATCTGTTGCTTAGTTTAAAAGATATAAGTTTACAACACAAAAAAGTGACTATTTTATATTATGTAAAGATAATAACTTGACATACCTCATAGCTGTAACACACAACAACCTTAGTAGGCAGAGCTGGTCTGATAACTATACTGCTGAAATATAAAGGCAAAACACCCAGGGACAACTGTAACTCAAGAGAGAGGTGTGTTGGTGCCTTCCTCCAAAATCAAGGGGGGTCAGGCCACCAGTAGCCTCACTCACTCAGTGAGAAGCAAAAGAGGGTGTGTTTTCACTCCAAACCAGGACATATTATGTCATGTGATGAAGCATAGCTCTCCCACAATATTTTTTTCTTGGGTGAGAAAGAATATTTTGCACAAATTTATTAACACTTACCTGATAAGGGAAAGCATAAAATATATCATCTTTTTCAATAGCTAGCAACTGTCGTTGTGATACTGAGAGCTTTGACACTGCAGTCTTTAATGCAGAGATGGCATCCTTCTCAACTATGTCTTCTAAAGCTTTAAAATCACTTCTTTGTAATGCATCTGAAACAACCTAACAATTTGCATTAAAGACAAAGTTCAAAAAATATGATACATAAATATATAAAGCAGGGTTTTCTGGTAAATTATATTCCCTTAAATATAAAAAATACATTGTTTAAACATACATTGATAAACAGAAAGATGAAGGTAATTTTTGGTAAGGTTGGATATAGTTTATTTAGTGTTTACTACCTACTTACTAATTTTAAAGCACGATAACTTTTTAATAACATTATAAATACCTGAACAGCATGTTTGGAAGCCTCAATAAACTCGTGTAAGTTGAATTCTTGCTCGAAATAAGGCCTAATAATGAAATTGGCAAACATCCAATTCTTTATGAATTTCATAAAAGAGGGCCATACAATAGGAGGAAATTCCATTAGCTGCGGCAGTATTTTGGTCTCTACTTTCTCTTCGCAATAATTCCGAAATTGTATAACAGGACATGTTGAGGTTATTTGTATTTGTTTGGGTAGATTTCTGTGAGTAAATCTATCACATAATCTGAACGTCTGCGACCTTAAGACTTGCCTTAAAGCTAAATTCATATTTGTTACCCTTTCTTGAACAAATTGTATTATTTACTAAGTGAAAAAACAAAGATAAACATTAAAATATTACTGGAAATAACAAAACAATAGTTGTACTACATTTTCAGGAGGATGACAATATGACATTTTCCAGCTGTCAGTTTCTGTCTCTGTGGTTGGTTGTAAAAAGTTACTTGAAATTATGATTGGTTAAAAAAATATTTTAAGTAGGAACATCGAAATTTATAAAATAATTAGGCGATGTAACCAAGAGATGTTATCGTTTGGAAAACTTATGTAAGACTTGGAAAACTACCTACCACATTATCGACCTTGGTCAATTAGGCGATGGCAGACGTTGTGATTCTGTATCAGGGTTTTCCTTCCTAGGGGTACACCTGGTTACCCGGCAACTGGTACCCGAGACGGCGTGCGGTTTTTGGTCGGTTCGAGTCCGACATAACCACCGGTGGGTGGTAAACGAGGGGATTTCCGCAAAGAAAAAAAAAGACGCTCTGATTGTAGGGACGCATCAGACTCTAACATAATGCTGCCACTAGAGGACAATACCCTTTATAACAGTTACGAGATCGAGGGTTGATCGGAACTTAGTTTTCACGTTTGCCGGCCGTTCTACGAGAATTGGGCTTCTGAGCGATTACTATTTTTATGTTATAGAGTGCAAAAGAGAATATATCCTGTGTCCTTTACAAACATACATGAAACGGAAAGAAAGAACACCAAGACTCAGAACAACAATTTGTGGATCACACAGTGTCTCAGTGTCAAACAACAATCTTAATTGAAAAATATTATCGATAAAGACCACACGTTGCCGAGTCATGTTGATAAAATTTTCAAAGTTCATTTGGTTATACTGTAAAGTGCATTTTAATACACAATAAAAGCAAAATAATTTAATAAAAAGCTCATAACTTATACTTTTAAGTCGGTACTTAACACTAGTGTGCTGTGTTTTATACGAAGGCGTCAGCGACGAGTAATCCATGGCGCTTGCGACGTTTTGGACGCAAGTGCGCTGCAGTGTTCGTGATCAAAACTATTATTGTAGTATTATTGTTTGCAAATTACGTGAACATAAGAGAATTTAAAAGTGAGTTAACTACTTTTTTGCCAACACAAAGCTAATACGCATATTAATTCAAGTATGTCTGATGCCTCTGCCTTGCTGTGGGGTTGTTGCGGAAAGGTGGGCTTGATGATAAACACATAGAATGTTAAAAATGCCGCAAATCGTATCACTACACTTGTATGGCTTTGGTTGAAGAAAGCGTTAAATAGATAGATAGTGTTATCCGCGTCGTAGCTGTGTACGGAATGCACGAATCAATGTCCAAAAAGTGTCAAGAATCATAATATGCCGCTTTGCACCATTTCTACCACCCGAGGTAGTAAAAGAGTGCCTCTGACCTCGCCTAAGCTTCCTTCTGAGACGGTTGATGTACGATCCTCGGAAAATGTACGCCATATTGTAGAAGAAGCCATTAGAAAAGAGCTTAAATATATAGTTACGCAACTCAAGGTTGGCATGAATGAAAAGTTAGATTCGCTTACGACTGAAATTGCCTAAATGAATAGATCGATACAATTTATGAATAGCCAATATGAGGATATAGTCAAAGAACATACATCATCGAAGGAAGCGATCAATGAAATGGCTAACGAAAATATCACAACGAAAAAGAATATTGACCTGTTAGCGTACGTACGTACTGGCGACACAGTCGTATATCTTGCTCGGTCCGTAAAATAAAGTAATATACGCGTAATAACTAAACTTGCACTTGTTCTTGGGATTGGTTATTGTTGTGTTAATATCAGTGCATAATTTGTGCATAGAAATATCAACAAGTCGTTGCTAATATTGGATATAATATCATTAGTTATCAGAAAGGATTTACGAGTAATTACTACCCTCCACATAACACAAAAACTGACCTCCGACAACCCGTGACCACTAAATGACAGAGGCGGCCTAAGTTGGAACTTCACTGGAGATTGCAGTAATCTAGATTAGTGCTGCCTTCGCGCTTTGCTTTAAGTGTTTATTGTAAGTTGAGCGGTAGCAACAAATACTTACATTAAGTATGCCAAGGGTTGAGCGCTCACCACCACCTACTCCCACACATGAGATGAATGCCCAACCCGTTTTTTCAACTCCGGAAGTGTACCAAAACATGAACGAGCGTGAAAATTCAAATACTACTTCACGAACAAAGCGCTTACGGCCTGATTTCTCCCCGGAATGTGAACTGAAATCCTTCGAGGAAAAGATAATGCAGATGCTTACCTTGTGGAAAGGCGAACAGGATGTTCTGCTTGAGAAATTGTCATCGGAAATATCGGCCATTAAGCTTCAAAATGCAGAGATAAAAAAAACGAATGCTGATGTGTTGAAATCAATTGAATTCTTAAAGCGCTTAAGAATTCAATTGACTATGAGTCTCTTAAGCAGACAATACAAAAACTGGAAAAAGAAAATAGTGAACAACGCAATTACATCGATGCCTCCTAAGTATACTGAGTCATCTAACAAATTTAGGTATTTTAATATTTTTACATAAACGGACATACTAAACCATGATCTTGATGTTAGTGTTAAAAATAAATAAAAAAGAACAATAATTACCGAGATATTTTCACGTATACTAAATCAATTACAAAATCAGTTAAAATCGTACATTGTATACTGATCCAAATGATGTCGTACCAGTGTACGCGGGACGTGTGGGGGGACGCATTGATACAAGTTTATTGTGGCTCAGTATATGATGAATGGCAGCATGTGTACACGCAAATTTACTTAAAATTTTGCTTTATAAAAATAGTGAATAAAGTAAATGTGGATGTATTTGTCTTATATTGTTTTTTTTATTAATTTATATTAGTAACAGAATGTAGTCAAACAGGGCGCGATTGTTTTTTAATTTACTCAACGACAATGTGAATAATACCAATAAAACAATAAAATAACTCCGGAATCGGTGATACAATGCAAAACAGGGATGAAAATGGTAAGTTATCTTTATTTTACGTGTATTAGTGTGATTTTGTAATTTTTGTTTGATAATTGTTGTTCATGTTGCTTAGTACGCCCTATACTGATACAACTTTAGTTACACCAGTATACGGCGAAATAACGTTATAAAGAAGACACTTGACTCATCTGGCTATACTAATATACTGATTAAACTTTTGATATTTTTGTATTAATTGTGTTATGATACATATTTTTTTATCTGTTATTATTATATTATTATTATATTATATATTATTGTGTTTTTAATTTAAATTATTGTTTGTTTTAGAGTTTCCTTTGCCACCAGATACAAATTTTACGGAAGAGGAGCTGTCAATACTGATGAAATTGATTTGAATGATAGCATAGATGTATTGTAGAATATCCCTTCTAACGCTTCCATAATATTATTCCCTGATTATAATATTCCTTGCTCGTTTATCGAAATTCAAAAAGAAGTTCGATTGCCATCAGTCATAGAAAATGCTCTAGGTGATTAATACGTAATTAATAAAGAACGTCACACGTTGTAGGCGGATTTCAAGTGTTAAAAAAAGATAAAGGAAAGCTAAGGGAACTTTTTATGAAATGGTAGGATCGGGAGAGGAAATATAATGTTAATAGAGGGTTGGAAGATGTCAGAAGAAACGGAAGAGTACATGGTATAAGAGTTATAAAAACTTCTTGCCCCGTAAATTGAATGCAAAAATGTAATGGGAAATTAACAGAAGATATTCGACAAAGAATTTTGACATGTTTTGGAGTATTGGATACCACACAAGACAATTTTTTGGCAAGGTATGCTGTAAGAGCTAAAAAGAAAGATAAACACTGGATAAAGATAATTCAAAACGTCCTCACGCTATTTTTTATTACCCTTCAAGCAGTCAAGGGGATAATATTGAGAGTACAAAAATATAATAATATTTGCAAAACTATTTTCTTCATCAACAGCCTTTATCAGTTCACTGCTGGACATAGGCCTCTCCTTAGAAAGGAGGTTTTGGCCTACTATACCACGCTGGCGAGACAGGTTGGTATAGGGTTTGTTTCAAGTTTTCCTTCTTTTTGCAGTACTGTTGTCCTGCGTAGTTTAACTATGTTCTTAAGAACCCTTTTTATTGGTTTTAATTTTGTTTATACGGCTTTAGGATAGTCCGTTAAAGGAGATAGATTTATTGAAACAGATCAGCGTGGTAGGCAAAGTAATTATCCAAAGATTATCAATGAAGATCTCGTTCCCAGTGTTGTAGATCACGTTGAGGATTACACAGTAGGATCACATTACACTCTCCAAAATCAAGTATAAAATATCTTGAGAGCAACAAAGAGGACAACAAAGAGAGGTGCAAAAGAAGTTTCCAGTTGTGTTTTTCAGTTTATAGATGATACGGTGGGTGAAGGTGTCAAAGATTACCGGTTCTGGTCAGACAACTGTGGAGGCCAAACTAGAAAAAGAATTGTTTTCTTAATGTTTATGTTAGCTAGTTCAAAGTTAAGTACGATATTAGAAATCGCTTTCTGCTAGTGGGTCACACTCAAAACTAAGCGAGAGTATGCGTGCTTTAATTGAAATGCAGACAAAAGATAAAATGCTTTGTACGACTGATCAATCGTATACCAAATCCGATGAAAAGCCATATAAATTCAATAGAAGTGTATCAGCATTTAATAAAATACTTCCAATCAAAGCTAATACCTATAAACAACTGGACAATAACTAATGATAGATCTAAAATGCCTTGGAATATAGTAACGGAAGTAGTAGTTAAAGCAGAAAATCCATTTCAAGTAGATAGGTTATGTAAAGAAACCTAAAGCTACACGAAATCGATGAGAGTTGTATATTGATATAGATAATATTTCTTTATCTTATCAGACACCCATTCCTATTGACCAAATAAGCACAAAGACTTGATGGGTCTTTGTAAGACGCTAGTCTATCATTATCTAGGAGTATCATTTATTTTTTAATAAT